GTCCCTAGGGTGGGCGACGGATAGCGCACCACACACCTCTCCTTAAAATCCCTGTGTGGTGGCGGCGTGCCGTCCTCCCATCCCTCCCTTGGGTTGTCTGTTTTCTTTCTTTCTTTCTACCTGTCCTTCTCCCACCCCTCGTTTGGCGTGTCCGTTGTATTTATTTATTTATAACTGGGCACAGGAGAAGAGAGATAGGAAGAGGCAGACTCCCTAGGGTGGGCGACGGATAGCGCACCACACACCTCTCCTTAAAATCCCTGTGTGGTGGCGGCGTGCCGTCCTCCCATCCCTCCCTTGGGTTGTCTGTTTTCTTTCTTTCTTTTACTGGGCACAGGACTGGCGCGCACTGGCACTAACACAGGTACACCACAAACAAAAGAATTATACCATGCTCACAGCAGAACTGGCCCATCCCTCCCTGGTGGTCTGTTTTCTTTCTTTCTTTCTGGCTCGGACTAGCACTACAAATGGCACAAACAAACTCTCTCTCTCAAATGGCACATCAGGCGACGGCCCTCGCCCCCCTCCGGCGGCGATAATAAAAGAAGAGGACCGGGGTCTCGGAGTTCTCGAGGTGGATATCCTTTGGCCGCGTTGGGTAGCGAGGATTGGTGTGACGCGATCCACGCAGGCGTGGTTTCTGACGGCCGACCGTCAGTGCAAGGGACGGACGCATTTCCCCCATTTCAAAGGCGGTTTCGAAGTTGATGAGACCTCGTCCCCCCTCTCGAATGAAAGGCGAAAAAAGAGGCGCGGAACAGGCCGGAAGCGCCGCTTGGACGTGGGTCACACAATGGCAGCGCTCCAGACGCGCTCTGGTAGCTGCCAATGAAGCTGTAGCCCATCGCGCGCGCGCCGGACGGCCACTGCACCTCTACTGCAGTGCCCTCCTGCACCGAGAGCGACGCGTCAAACCTTTGTTGCTGCCCATGACCGCCGGCGGCTCCGAGCTCGGGTGAGCCCTGGCTGAGCTGAGCAACTGCGGTCGCAATTGCAGCGCTGCGGTCGGTGCAGAGTGGCCGTGTGCGTACGGCGTCGTACGCGCACGGCCGCTCTGCCTCAGTGGCGTGCGGCTTGGGCCAACTGAGGCCGCTCTCCGACCTCGCTCGCCGAGCTCACAATCCGGCGCGAGCCGCATCGAGTGGAAGTTCGACTTCAGCTCCCGCGAGTGGATGCACTGCCTTGTCGAGTGCAAGCAGTTGGGCTCCGCCGGAAGCACGAGGTGCAACGCGTTCTGGGCGCCAGCAGACGCGAGCGCGCGAGCGCGTGTTGAACCGGACGCTCCATAGCAACACTCCAAGATACACTGCAAGGGGGGTACTCGTTTTTTATTCGGGTTCGGGGCCCAAGAGTACACTCTTGGCGACGAAACCGAAGCGGGTTGGCCCCCCTGGCGCCTCGGGTGGTTTCACTGCGGGGGCCCCCCGCGCCTCCGAGGCTCGGCTCTCTCGCTAGTGCGGCCGGCGCGTCGCCGTCGGCGGGACGGGCGGTGCGTGCGCGCGTGTGTGTGTTGTGTGCCATCTTTGCCCGACTGCCGGGGTACCTTGTAAATAGGGCCAAATACGTCTTCGTGCCGTACGTACACGATGCCAGTCAACAGTGTGCATATCCATCCCATCGACCCACAAGCTACGACTCTCTCACTCTCTCACTTCAACGCCGAAGCCTAGGCGAGACTGCCTCTATCGATCCCCGAGCTCGACGCCTCAACGCGGGAATTCTCTGGCGCAATGCTCCCCTCCCTCGGCAAAGAGTTTGACGCCTCTGCCTCCACCGGCGAGGCAGCGGCGGTGGATGACCTCCACCGGACGCGCTGCTGCCGCCGCAACAACGGGCTGAACAGCGAAGCGTGGAAGGCTCGGAGTTTGGCGCAGGCCTTTTTGAAGGCCGACATCGACTCAAGGCGGACGAAGCTTCAAGTGCTCTGCTTTCGGAAAAAGAAAAATGAGGTGACGTCTTTCCGGCGTCCACCCATACCGCGTTGGTGTCCAGTCCGAGCCTGGCTGTTCTTCACCTTTCTACCTACCTACCTACCTGGACTGGCTCGGGCATGTCAGCAGGATGGATTTCGATCGCCTACCTCGTCGCATGCTTTCGAGGAGAGATTTTTAGCAATACCAAACAACTCTAACTTTGTTTGTTTTGCTTTCGTGCTCAGAAAGACAAATTCGTCGTGGATGCCTCACGGCCGGCCGATCGGGAGAGAGAGATTTTTAGCAATACCAAACAAATCTAACACTCACACGTCATTTGGGGTTGTTGTTCCGATCGGGTGCCCCGGGGCGTGCAATGCAGCTGGAGCACTTGGAGCACTGGTGCAAAATGGATTCTTTTGCTTTTTCTTCTTTCTCTGTCTCCGGTCGTGCTGTTCTTCACCTCACGGTTACTATCTTCCCTCCAGTTCCACTCACGACTCACCCACTCGTCTCACGTCTGCGCTCCTCTGGAGCTTCCTGTCTCGCCCACTCTGCCGCGACCATCTTGCCTCGCGGCCGGCCAACCCACTCGCGATGTCACATGCCGTCCCTCCGGCTAAAGAAAGAAAATTCCATTTTCTCTCGTCAGAAATTTCTCGTGGAGTTTTTCTCCTTCTCACGCCCCCCCCACTCCAGGTTTTTCTCCTTCAAGCGACGACGAGCCCAGCCTGTCGCCCAGCCTGTCGCCGCTTGCCAGCCACCGCCGTCCTCCCCGCAACCACCATGGTCCGCTCCTACTTTCGGTACACCGAGGAGGCCGCGTGGGCCGTGGCTGTGTCTGGCGGCGCCCGCATCGCCGCCAGCGCCGACGGCCGCTCCATCCTGACGCCGATGCTCGAGTCGGTCGGCGTGTGGCCTCTCCGCGGCGGCGGCACCGAGCGGCGCATGCGACCGCGACCCACCGTGGCGGCCACCGCTTCCGAGACGACGGCGCTGCAGCTGTCTCCCGACGGCGAGGCCGTCGCAGTCGGCTACTCAGACGGCACTGTCCGGCTGTGGCCTGTTGCCGGACGTGAGCCTCTGCTCGAGGAGGAGCGGGTCGCCCTCTCCGGGCACCGCTCGGCGGTGCTCTGCCTCGCCTTCGCGCCCGACGGCTCGCAGCTCGCCTCGGGCGGCGCCGACACCCTCGTCGTCCTCTGGGATGTCGTCGCCGAGGCTGGCGTCTGCAAGCTGCGCGGCCACCGAGGGCCCGTGACGGGCGTGGCGATGATCGCTTCGCTGGGCGCGCTCGCGTCGGTGTCCAAGGACGGGACGCTGCGGCTGTGGGACCTGCACACGCAGCACTGCGTCCAGACCTGTGCCTCTCCGGCGGGCGAGCTCTGGAGCGTCGACATGGACGAGAGCGCGGGCAGGCTTCTCACTGGCGGAGCTGGCGGCGAGCTGCTGCTCTGGTGCGCGCTTGCCGAGAGGAGAGGGAGGAGGGGAGGGGAGGAGAGCGAGCACACCGAGAGCGCGCGGAGAGCGCGCGCGGAGCGAGCGGGGTCGACACGGGACAGACGGGAGGGGGAGAGGTGCTCGCTTCAGCCGCCACATGCGCCTCGGCGCGCAGGACCATCGCAAAGGCAGAGGTGGCTGGCAGTGCTGGCGGCGAGAGCGGCGCCGCTGACGGCGCGACCGAGGAGGCGACGCCGGTCGGCGTCGATCCTCTCTGGATGGCGGCGCACGCGACGCTTCGCGGGTCGATCGCGACGACGAGCAGCGCAAAGGTGGCTCAGATCAGCTGCTCGGCGGACGGGGGCATCGTCGGCGTGCTGTACGGCGACCGGACGATGGGGCTGTGGCGGGCGCGGGACGGTGGGGAGCGGCTGAAGAGGGCGGGCAAGCGGCGGGTGGAGCGCAAGAAGAAGAAGAAGAGGCTCGCCGGCGGGGCCGCCGCCGAGGCGGAGGGCGAGGAGGAGGAGGGCGAGGCGGGCGGGGCGGAGGAGGCGGGCGACGAGGCGGCTCTGGCTGCACTCGAGCCGCTCTGCGGCCTGCGCGGGTCGCACAAGC